TTTCCTCCTCTCTCCAATCCTGGGATCACCTCTGACTCCCGGGTGCCCTTCCCGGACGCCAGCCATCCTTAGGACTCGAACCCACCGACATCCACACTCTGGAACGCCAGCCATCTTAGGACTCCCACCGATTTTCTCCTCTCTCTCCATCCACTGGGATCACCTCTGGACTCCCGGGTGCCCTTCCGGACGCCAGCCATCCTCAGGGACTCGAACGCACCGATTTCTTCCTCTCTCCATCCACTGGGCGCTCCTCTGGACTCCCGGACGCCCTTCCAGACGCCAAACTTCCTCAGGGACTCGAACGCACCGACTTCCTCCTCTCTCCATCCACTGGGCGCTCGCCTAGACTCCGGGTGCTCTTCCAGACGCCAGCCTTCCTCAAGGACTCGAACGCACCGATTTCCTCCTCTCTTCATCCACTGGGTGCTCGTCTGGACTCGCCTGGACTCCGGGTGCTCTTCCAGACGCCAGCCTTCCTCAGGGACTCGAACGCACCGATTTCCTCCTCTCTCTCCATCCACTGGGCGCTCCTCTGGACTCCCGGACGCCCTTCCAGACGCCAGCCTTCCTCAGGGACTCGAACGCACCGACTTCCTCCTCTCCATCCACTGGGTGCTCGTCTGGACTCGCCTGGACTCCGGGTGCTCTTCTAGACGCTAGCCATCCTCAGGGACTCGAACGCACCAATTTCTTCCTCTCTCCATTCACTGGGTGCTCGTCTGGACTCGCCTGGACTCCCGGGTGCCCTTCCAGCCGCCAACCTTCCTCAGGGACTCGGTTTGATTCCTCTTCCTCGACCATTTACAATCCCCGGAGTGTGCGTGGCGGGGATTTAAAAAATGTGTTAGTAAAGAAATAATGAATAGTTTTTGTTCATAAGCAAGCAAGTATTGTGATTATAATTCAGCTATAATTTGAGATAATATTGATGATGTTATTTTGATTTGATTATTGAAAACACTTGTATACTACTTTAAGCAAAAGAAAACTGATAGTTCAGCAAAGTGTAATAGCATAAAGTTACTAGAAATTTCATCAAATTTATTTGAAAACAATACCTGTTACACCTCGTTAAGTGTTATTGCTGTGGAATGAAATAGCATATGGATAAAAAGACAGAATTTCTCTTTTTTATCATTTATAATGTCTGTATTAAAATAACTTTTTTTTTCTCTTCGTTTTTAATATTGCTTGGTGTGTGTGTGTGTGTCTGTGAAAATATGTTATTTCTAATCAATAGTCTTCTCCACTTAATTAACGAAACCCCAAGCAAAGAGGTACAGAATGCCACACCTCCACACGTATTCGCACACACATAAACACACATTCACAATCAATAGATCATATTGCCGATTAACTTTTCAATAGAACTTTCGATTCAGTTTTAATGTGTAGAAGCTTGTGGTAGAATCTACCTCTTGGGGGTCTCAAAGCTGCATATATATTAACAAAGACATCAGACATTGCTTCACAAACTTCAGTTAGAATATAAACGTTATTGAAACGTCTTATCAGTTTCCTTGAGTTTGATAGATCAGGTCACTTTTCGAAATACACGGTAAACACAAGTAAACATTAAATAACGTTTTATACCTGGGATATATTCGTCCACAAAAGAAAAGAAAAGGAATACATACTTTATAGAATCCCAGAGTTGCTTTCAAACGTTCTTTAAATACCATACAAGAAGAACGAAATAATCGTAAATTTTTGAAAATATTTACACTCATATTACTCGGAATTTCAGCTTGAAAATACCTCTTGCACGATGAAGTATACGTGGAACATATTCGTCCACAAAGGAAAATAATATATAATATATATATATATATATATATATATTATATATATATATATATATATATATATATATTATATATATATATATATATACCTTATCGAGTCCTAGAATTGCTTTAAACGTTCTTTAAACATCAAAATAACAACGAAATATTTTTGGAAATATTTACACCCATATTTTACGAGGAATTTCAGCTCGAAAGTGGAACATATTTGCCCACAAAGGAAAATAAAAAATATATATATACCTTATCGATTCCTAGAATTGTTTTAAAACTTTCTTTAAACACCAAAATAACGAAATCATTTTTGAAAATATTTACGCCCATATTTTACCAGGAATTTGATCTCGAAAGTAAAACATATTCGTCCACAAAGGAAAATAAAAAATATATACCTTATCGAGTTCTAGAACTGCTTTAAAACTTTCTTTAAACACCAAAATAACGAAATCATTTTTGAAAATATTTACGCCCATATTTTACCAGGAATTTGATCTCGAAAGTAAAACATATTCGTCCACAAAGGAAAATAAAAAATATATACCTTATCGAGTCCTAGAACTGCTTTAAAACGTTCTTTAAACACCAAAATAACAAGAACGAAGTATTTTTCAAAAATATTTACATCCATATTACCAGGAATTGCAGCTCGAAAGTGGAACATATTTGTCAACAAATTAAAATAAAAAATATATACCTTATCGAGTCCTTTAAAACGTTCTTTAAACACCAAAATAACAAGAACGAAATACTCATTTAAAATAAAATATTAACACCCATATTACCAGGAATTGCAGCTCGAAAGTGGAACAAATTTGTCCACAAATGAAAATAAAAAACATATACCTTATTGAGTCCTACAATTGCTTTAAAACGTTCTTTAAACACCAAAATACCAAGAACGAAATATTTTTGGAAATATTTACACCCATATTACCAGGAATTGCAGCTCGAAAGTACCCCTTTCTTTTCCCTCTCCCGAGTCTGCAGCATCAACACCTCGGCTTCACACTCTAATTACTTGTATCAGAGAGATGGAAGGAGCCCTAATTACACATCAAAGGAAGATTTACCCAATTTGCGGGGATTAGACCTTGCATTGAGATGAAACATACGTCGTGGCCACGTTTGATCCGCCAACGTGTGTGTGTGTGTGCAGGCGTGCGTGTGGGTGTGTTTGAGTGAGTGAGTGTGTGTGCGTGTGTGTGTGGGGTGGGTGGGGGTGGGGGTGTGCTTGCGTGCGTGCGTGTGTGTGTGTGTGTGTGTGTGTGTGTATGTGTGTGTGTTTTATGTAATTCTACGGTTGTTAGCCATTGCGACAAGTGAAATAAGGTATTTTGAATTTGAATTTTATGCCATGCTCCCGTGCTCACTTCAACTTTTTTTTTTACTACGAATGATTAAGTTAAGGTAAGACTTGTTCGTACAAACGATTTTAAACCTACTTACTACTCTCTCTCTCTCTCTCTCTCTCTCTCTCTCTCTCTCTCTCTCTCTCTCTCTCTCTCTCTCTCTCTCTCTCTCTCTCTCTCCCTCTCCTCCCTCTCTCTCCTCTCTCTCTCTCTCTCTCTCTCTCTTCTCTCTCTCTCTCTCTCTCTCTTCTCTCTCTCTCTCCGCATTCTCTGCCACCCAGGCTAGTCCAAATGCCCAGACTTAGATTCCCTTCCGTACATTTACATATCATTTTAATCTTGCTTTTTGCTCCCCAGTGGGATAATATTGTCCCAACTTATTTGTCTTATGCATATTTCTTCATTATACATTTTACATTTACTTTATTCTACATATTCTTTAGTTTCCTGCCTTCCATTACCCAAGCTTCCCTCACCAAAATGGCACATAATAGCTACACTTTTAAAAATCAATATTGCACGTAACATAAACTGTTCCACATTATACTTATTGTACCACACACCCCTTTGTCCACAGTGGGGCTTAAAGGGTTTTGTTCCTTATACCTACTGAACACATCTCTGCGTCCTTTGCTTAATGGTATTTGTACTGTCCAGGTATCCTTGTTGTACCTGGTATCAAACGTGCTTTAATTAGTTCCAAATCCCAGATTCACTAGCCTGTTTTTTTTTTTCTTTTTTTTTTTGTGCAGTAGTTTCATGCTTTCTAAAGACATTTTTATTTAGTCTTTTCTGGCTTTAAAAATATATATATTTTGTGCACTTTTTTTTCCTCCATATCTATTTTGAAGTATATTCTTCATTCCAAACCCCAGACGTTTATTTCGCATTTCAAATAGTCTTTTCTGGCTTTTGTGCACTTCTTTTTTTCCTCCATATATTTTTTGAAGTATTTTCTTAATTGCAAACCCCAGGCATATATCACTCACGTCATTAGCCAGTGTTTTTTTTTTTTTTTTTTTTTTTTTTGCAGTTGTTTCATTATTTCTAAAACGTGTTTCTAAAGACCTTCTTATTTCACATTTCAAATACATTTTTCTGGCTTTAAAAGAAAATATTTTGTGCACTACTTTTCCTCCATATATATTTTGAAGTATATTTTTATGCATAAGCATGGTTGTGATGCCAAAGCAGGGCCCTGTTGACCTATTCCCCAGTGTCAAAGCTTCTTCTCCGTGCCCAGGCTTTTCCAAGTCCCAGACTTCTTCTCGTGCCAGGGCTTTCCCAAGTGCCCAGACTTCCTCTCCCGTGCCCAGGCTTCTCCCAAGTGGCCAGGCTTCTTCTCCGTGCCCGGCTTTTCCCAAGTGCCCAGGCTTCTTCTCCGTGCCCAGACTTCTTTTCAGTCCCAGGCTTTTCCCCAGTGCCCAGACTTCTCCGTAGCCCAGCTTCCCCAAGTGCCCGGGTTTCCCCAGTGCCCAGACTTCTTCTCCGTGACCAGACTATCCACCAGTGCCAACTTCTTAACTCGTAGCCAGATTTCCCCACTGCGGCCAGCCGCTTTTCAGTGCCACAGAGCTTCTCCTCTTTCCCCAGTACCCAGACTCTTCTCGTGCCCAGGTGCCCAGACTTCCTCTCCGTGCCTAGCGCTTTTTCCAAGTGCCCAGACTTCTTCTCCGTGCCTAGGATTTTCCCAAGTGCCCAGGCTTTTCCAAAGGCCCAGCTTTTCCCAAGTGCCCAGACTTCTTTCTCCGTGCCAGGCTTTTCCCAAGTGCCCAGACTTTCCTCTGTGCCCAGGCTTTTCCCAAGTGCCCAGACTTCCTCTCCTGTGCCCAGGCTTTTCCAA